TATATTATATATGTGATAATTGTACTTGTTTGTATAGCTACACACACACACACACTTTTAACATTTTATATGGAAATATTTATATGGAAAAAACAATCATATATTTTATATACTATTTAATATGTAAAAAATAATTAAAAATAAAACTTTATTTCTATACATTTTATGTATGATGTGAGTTTTGCATGTACATGCGTTTTATTTATATTTTATAAAAATATATTAATTTCTCAATTTAATAATTAGTTTTTGTTATTTAAGATAAATGCAGTAATGATATTTCTTTTCAGCACAACTCAGGGTTGTAAAACATTGCTAATGTGATAAAAACCACAGCCCAACCGATAATAATTTTACCAGGCAAAGCATAACAGTTATCACATGGTCATTTAACTTAACTACTTGATTGATAGAGAACATTAGACTCAAGCTGGTTAAAATGCCAGAGGCCTGTTGATCTGCTTTTTAAAGTGTGGGGAGTTGACCTTTCACATGGCTGAAGTCGGTCCCTTCGAAACACTGTGGGCAAAGTGACAACTGGCCGCGGATTCCTCGACACCACTCCAAAAAAGTACACGGGAGTTGCGTTTGAATCTTTAGGATGATGTGACTGACAGCTCGGCCCCTCACCCCTAATTAGAGCTCGGCAATTTATGAGCTGCTGCCGCGAGATTATGTATCGACATCAGAAATCCTCCAGTGAGATGATGAGTGCCTGTGCTGGTCCGGTGCGCGCGGCGCGGCGCGGCTAGAAATAGTCCAGTCATGCTAATATTGGCACTGAGTTACCGGGCAGGGATATTGTGACAGCTTTGCGTAATCATATGTTTATAGATTTATGACCACATTAGCATTTGTATATCTACTTTATTGTATGTAATATTTTATTTTTCTATGGCTAATAATAATACTTACCAACTCTTTCACACTGTAATGTAGTCAGTGTTTTAAGTCAAAAGTCTTAACTACACATATTTATTCACTTTTTTTTTTTTTTTTGGTTTAAAACATCTGTTTTAAATTGTTGTGATTTCTGTATTCCAAACTAATATTTTGCACGCCATACTTAATACCACATTGTCATACACTGCTCTTTTTATAATTTTGCTCATTTATATTGTTTCATGAATTTTGTCTTTCTTAATTTTTTACTTTGAGAAGCTATTTTCATTTTATGCCTGTTACCAGCAGGGCCCATATTGTGTGACAACATGCCCCGCTAAACGTCAAGATCTACACCAAAACAATATGTTCATACAGAAATTTTTTAACAGAAACTGACGTTCAAAAATAAACTGTGACAGCCCTGGTCTCCTCTACACTTGCAATTTTTCTAGACCTATATTATTTGTTTTTTTTCCTAAATAATTTATTTAATTTTTGTTCATATAGCCAAGTGAGGTTGAAAGGCACATTTCATTGTCAACAGTACTGAAAACTGTAGTTGTACATATGACAAATATAATTAACTCAACTTTGAACTCAAGGGAGACAAACAGGCTACAAATACAACTAAAGTAAACAGAGTTTCAATAGTAATCATTTATAAAATACTCATACTGTACATAATGTGACTTAATCTGCCACATGAACTTCTTGAGTTTTTCATGCACCCCCAGAACTTTAGGAACGCTCCTCAGTGCTGTTTTAAAAAAAAGAGGCCTTTGTTTTACCCACTTAAGCAAGAGAAACCCCTCGCCACACATCTCTTGTCCATCATTGCTGTTGTCATAAGCCAATATTAATCTACAGCTGTCCGGTATTCACAGTGAACACAACCACAAAGAAAAGGCTCAAATGGCATGTGATAACATTCACTCTACTGCTTTCTTTCTCGCTTCCTTTTTCCTTTTCACTGGCTGACTCTATGGCTGAGTGAACAAAACATCACGCGCATTAAAAGTAGCCCATGTTTACATTCCTTCTCATGTTGCGAAAATCTATATTGAAATAAATGATTTCATCTCTGATGGTCTCGCTTTTGAGGTTTTGAAGGTTGCGGCGAATTCATAAGAGCCTTTTGTTTCTTTCTTAAGAGCCCAAAGCAAGCAGAAAATACATTTCAAGACGGTGTCTGGTATGAAAAGATGCCACTATACTCAAGTTTGCATGATCAATCGCGTTTGCAATTTAACAAGCTTTCTCTAAAACACTTAAAAGCAGCTAAAAAAAAGTGTGTACCGCCTGGTTTGTACCATTTTTGTTTCGTAGGATGAAGATAGACAGCTGGTAAAAACAGACAACACCTACTTCTCAATGCACTGGAAAAATACTTTCAAAGGTAATATATTACATACATTCAAATACATCATGGTGAGACGTCACCCTAGGCTGACGGTGACTGAAAGTGGTTGTTAAAAATGTACAAATGAAAGAATCGATATTTCTGTCATGCTGGTTGCTCCTACTTGTAGCACTGGACACACTAAGACACATAAAGTATATACAGTACAGCTTAATGGTGTTTGTATCTACTTCCAGTTGAACCCACACCACTCCTCACAAAAAAATGAAAAGCCAAACCAGTTGTTCCCTTTCGCCGTGTGTCCAGATACAACAAAACGCCTGTTTAATGAAATCCAGGGTGCTCGCTCGGTCAAATGGCGCACAGTGCCGTTGTGTGTGCGTCTGCTAAGTTCCACAACAGTTGTCGGTGACAGGTGCTGAAAGCAATATAGATAGAGTCAAGTGGCTTCAAATAGCCGCTCTCTGTCTTCAGCGATGATAGGGAATGCAGCTCTCGCGTCAGAAACTCTCATTTCTGGTCTTTTCATATAGCCGGTCCATTCGGCTCTCAAATGTCCCCTTAAAGTAACGTTTGTCCTTTTTCAAAGCTCATTTTGGGTCCGTTTTGCTGAGGGTCAGGGGAGGGAAGGGGCGAGAGCAGCTGCTAGTCACACCACTACAGTATGTTTGCTTCTCTTTACTGTCTTTTCTCAATCGAGAGAGAGAGAGTTTTGCATTCATCCGAAGGGTTCAGCTTAGGATGGTCCCGCCGCAGAGGGTGTAGCGCCGAGCTGCAAGTGAGATGAGAATCTGTTACAGAAAAGCCAGAGAAAGGCAAGCCAGCGGAGAAAGAAGCGGCCGCAGGGCACTAAAACCAGTACAAGTCCTTGCTTTTATCCTGGCTCTGTAGACCTGAGAGGAAGAAGGAAAAGGAAGAAAAGGATAAAGAAATGAGGAGAGGGAAAATAAGCAGCAAATATAGAGAAGTGAGAAGACTTGAGGCAAAGAAAGCATTAAAGCCTTAAGAGTGAGAGTGAAGAGGAACGGATATGTCAGCAGAGCAAACTCAAAGTCAAAAAGCTTGAAGATAACTAGATTTAAAACTCAGAATATGTACTTCAATAAGCTCTAAAGACATGGTTATTTTTACATTATATGTTTGAATTTTTTGAGCTGACTATTTATGCTGCGATTTTAACCCACGGTGGCCCAAAAATTTATTTAGACGCTTTAAGTCACACTTAAAAAATCTAAATGTCATTGCATTATATAACAAAGTATTAAACTGGCATTTGCAGACAAATCATACTAGAGCTTTTCTCTGAAATAATTTCGATTTTCTTCACAATTATCTGCACTCAAACTGATGTCCAGGTGATTTTAGTGGATGCATGATGTCAGTTCTCCTAATATTCACACAGAAGCCCTGACAAAGTAACCACAGGTTTAGTTCATCACATTAACTTACACTACTGTTCAAAAGTTTGGGGTCAGTAAGATTTTTTTAACGAAATTAATACAGAAAGGATGCATGCAATTGATCGAAAATGACAGAAAAGACATTTATAATGTTAAAAAAGATGTATATTTTTAAATAAATGCTTTTCATTCAAACTTTCTATTCACCAAATAATCCTGAAAAAAATATATCACAGTCTCCACAAAAATATTAAGCAGCAAATCAGCATATTAGAATGATTTCTGAAGGATCATGTGAGAGTGAAGACAGGAGTAATGATGATGAAAATTCAGCTTTGCATCACAGGAATAAATTACATTTTCAAAATGTATTAAAACAGAAAAGGTTATTTTAAATTATAATAATATTTCACAATTTTCCAGTTTTTCTAAAACTTTTGAACGGTGTGTTCCACTAACATCTGACAACCAGAAAGTGTCACAAAATGTTGTCTTATTTATTATTTAAAGCCAAAACCTTCTTTTTAGTGACGTGTTTTTTCTTTAAAATAAAAGCTTTTTGGTTTGATATTTTGTTTTAAAATGCAATGACATCCATACGTTTTTAAGTGTAGCTCATGTGAATGAACTTTGCGATGTTGCTGTATGTAGACTGCATGCCGTTCACACCTGTATCCATGTTCAGGCTCATATCAGAGCTCGCTGCTGTGAAAGCTCCAGTCCACGCCGAGCTGCCCGACTCGCTCTTGCTGATATCGCACGGCGAGGCTCCAGGTGCGGGAACCGTGGCTGGAGGAAGTCTATGTGGCCGCACCGAGGGCACGAGTAGAGAGCTGTAACGGGGGTCAAAGTGCGTTCCGTACATGTCGTGCATGGAGGGCCGGGGGTAAGCCGACCCCTGGGTGCCGATGGCTCCGCTGAGCGAGTAAGGGTGATGGTGGTGAGAGGGGTGCCAGGGCTCTGGGGTGGCTTGGTGAAGGTGGCTGTGTAGAGACGCGGTGGAGTATGGGTCCGCCGGGAAGGGAAGATCTGTGTGGGAGGAACCCAGGGCGCTGCTGAGAGATGCTGTCACTGACGGCTGATACGCGCTGTTCCAGAACGAGGGAGGGAAGCTTCTCTGGCTCATAGGGAATGATCCGTCTGGGGAGGGAATCATTTATGTAAATGTTCTACATGTTAATGTGCATAAAAGCATGTGATAATTCAAATATACAACAGTTTGAGCCTTTAAATATTTTGTTTGCGATTAAAAATGAATGTCCACACATTTGGATTTACAAAACAAAAATGCAACAAACTGATTGTAAAAATGATGTCCTGTAATTATCTGTATTTCATAATTTAACTAATTAGCTTTTTAAAAAATCTATTTATCTTGAAACAATGCAAAAAATAAAAAATAAAATTAAGTAAAATTGTGCCTGTTGTCATGCCTAATATATGTGCATTCATAACTGATGGTAAAAATTATGTCCTAATTATCTGTATATCCTAATTAGATGGATTTGCATTAGTTTTTAAAAATCTATCGATCTTGAAACATTGCAAAAAAAGAAAAATCGTGTCCGTTGCCATGACTACTAGCTATGCAATCCTACTTGATTGTAAAAAATGATGTCCTATGTACTGTATATCCTAATTTAAAAATCTATCTATTGATCTTGAAAAGATAATAATACAATTATGACCATTGTCATGACTAATATTATCATCATAAAAAATCTATCTATCTATCTATAAATCTATCTATCCTAAAAAAAGGAAATGCATGCCCATTGTCATTACCAAAAGCTGTGTAATCAAAAAGGATGCAAGTAAAACATATATTAATTACAGTGTAAATTAAAATGTAGGTTGCATCAGATTCCCACCTCTCCAGGATGATGTACCTCTTGCGGTCTTGCTGTTGGTGGATCCAGTTGCACAACTACTGGACTGACTCAAAGCCCGACTGAAATGTTCATCTACCACCGAACTGATGTCCCCTTGGAAATAAGTGAATAGCACACATCTGGAGCTGATGTACTCAGCCTCCAGCGGGTGATCTTTCTCCCGGGCGCAGCCCTCCTCTTTTATGGGTGGCCCGGAGAGGTTGGAAAAAGAAGAGCTGCTTCCGCTCAGTGTTTCTGAGGATTCTTGCATTTTGGAGTAAAATGCCAATTTCTGAAATCATGTAAAAATGGCCAAATCAATTTACATTCAACTCTGATATTTACATGATACAGAATTACACTCACAAACACATCAGTGAGTTTGGTATTGCACAATTTGTGTTCCTGTAATGTTTCAAAACTTCTGTTCAAACACTAGCACATATACAAAGCTGTTATATATACATTGAAACATAAAAAAGAAAGAAATATAGGCCTACTCTCCAGAAAGCATTACACATGCCAATAGTTTTTATGCCTATACTGCATTCATGGTAACAATATGATATCTGTAAAATACAGACATTTTTCTTCTTTTTGACTTCTTCAAATGTTCTTAACACTTAAACTGCAATTAATAAAGTTACATTTTTCTCATGACCATCGAACTATGTGACTTCTTTTAAAACTGTAAAACTATTTGGTCAAGATCACAGGCGCAACAAGTCGAGCAGAGAAAGTTTCGCGCACGAATTCAAACAAAACCAAAACAAGGAAAGAACTGCTTTAAAATAAAATTAAAATACATTTTAACACAATAGAAGCATAATACAGTTAACGTATACATGAACATACCTGATGGTGATATGGTGTGTATGCTGCGGCAAAATAAGGTTGAGGTGGACCATAAACTTGATACATGACATCCAAGCAGCTCATGGCGAAGACAGCTGTTATATCACGTATAAAAACTTATTAGCGGAATGAGAGGACGCTTCATTTGAAATAAAGCGCTGGCTCAGCGTGTACAAACAGAAAATGAAGCTCCGCGTCGAGTCCCACTAAAGCGCACTGAGCAGCTTTTATGTTCTGTACTCTGTCTTTACGCACGAGTCTGATTCACTTGAGAGATTCGGTTCATTCAAATGATGAGTGGTTCAGTGAGTCGATTCATTTGAATCATCACTCAAAGTGTTCCCAGAAGTGGTTGTGTGTTGTATGGTATTGCTTGCAGTCAAATAAATATTAGTCTACGTGTTGGAAAATCTTCAAACAAGATAATTGCACAACAATATAATCTTATAGCGTTAGCTGGTTTCTAGCTGGTCATTAGCTAGACCAGCTACCATGTTCCAAAAAATAGTCAACATTTTGGCAGTTTACTCATTTTAGATGCCTTCAAGTTTCATGCTGTCATCTCAACTGAGACCTTAGCCTGTATGCTCTGTTATATGTTGTCTGGTTTGGTATTTTGTGGGGGAAAGTCAAATATTGCGTTGTGTTTCTAAGATATTTCGTTCCTCATTGTGTTTACTATGAATGTTGAAGTTCGCGTGATTAGAAACACTGCAAATCGGTGCATGAATCGCAAAAATGAATCTGTTCAAATAAACGACTCCTCCGCGAATCGAACCTCTGTGAAACGAGGCGTTTTGACGTATCTACACACCAGAGACCAATAACTCCTTATGAATCGTTCCTACAGGTAGCTCAAGTTCGTTTAACCATCAAACTGTTCTGGTATTACAAATAAAAATATATTTTTGTTTTTATTTTAGATTTGAGTGCATGTTCACAATATTTAATAATGCAATACACATCTGCTGAGACACTAGTGACCACAATATATATCTATGTAATAACATTTTCTTGTCTCATCTGTCTCATGCATGAAGTTAGCCAAGCTTTTAAAAAGGAAAATTCAAAAAACTTTCAAGTCATTTGAATAAAAAGCTGAATAGAACTAAACAGATACATTATTGCTAAATAAATGTGCTGCCATCTGCCTATTTAAAATGCCATGGGTTTCTGTGCCCAGTTGCCCTGGGCTCATTAGATTTCCAGGTCAAAGGCCAAATAGTTTTCATGCAACTGATGCTGGGGTCAAGGGGCATTTTTCTGTCATTAGGACCCTTAAAATCAACAATATGCTGCAACTAAGAAAACACTGATACAGTGGAATCAATGCTGCTGCTGCTGTAGTATCCAATACACTCCAGATGAGCAGCTGAAGTGGTGTCTAAAGCTCATCATGATTTTACTGGGAATTTCACAGGAATGTTTGGTATTCTGTCACGTATAACCCACTTCATGGAGGCTTTCACATATTAAGCTAATCTAGCGCTGTCCAGAGTGCTGGAGGTGAAATATTCTGGTTATTTCTCAACAAACACTAATAGCAGTATCTGAGGTGTAAAGTGATCCTCACAGTTGTAACTTTTGAATTCACTGTAGTTGGATTTTCTCAGGATTTGTACATTCTTGTAGACATTCCCATATATTTTAAGGGCCCAAACAATGAGACAAATGGTTTTATTAAACAACAAAACACTTACCAAGCACAACCAAGAATGAAATCCTTGATATGGGAAAAAAAAAATTTTTGTGCTGGAAGAGTTAGGAGAGGATGTTCATTCATTCATTTTATATATATATATATATATATATATATATATATGAATAAATAGCCTTAATTTTAATCAAAATACAATTTTATATTTTCCAGAAAGCCATTAAAATACAGCAACACAGCAAAAATCTTGAAAACAAACACTGAATATGTTTTCATACAATCAGAAAATATGGTGTGAAAAAAAAGTTTTAATAAGTAAGAAATAATAATTAAAATTTTTTTTTTGAATTTATAATCATTTATAATTTGAAATAATATACTAATAAATAATAATATATTTTTGTTCATAAAATAATTTTTCATAAAATATATTTAGCTATAAATTCTAGAAATATAAATGATATTGCATGGAGAATATGGCAATAAATATGGCAATAAAAAGATACTAATTGCTTCTAATTCAACTCAAATTCACTGTTCACGCTTCAAGTTTAGTGCTTTCGCACCTGTTCACAGATCGAGTTACAGCGTGCAATAACTCTCCATTTCTGATGTGACAGCTCTCAAACAATGGGGGTTTTAGACTGAGTAACCTGACAAGGTTTCTATTTCTACCCAAATAGCTTAAGGACAAGGAAATGTTGAGTGCTAACACCCAGCTAATAGGACCTAACCTGCTGAAACAACAGTGCATTCAACACATCTAATGAATCAGAGAAGATCAGGGCACATCACTTACAGCTTTAACCGGCCTGCAGTTTTCAACATAGGCTCTTTCCTCTAACATCTGAGAATAAAAGAGTCTCCTGGCTTTGTGCCTCTGCTGACAGAGGGGACCCTTGGCCCCCAGTCATGCATTTGCAGGTAATCTGCCTGGGTCCGTCCAAAACGAGGGAGAAGGGGGGTAGGAGATGAGAGAAAGAGAGCGCAAAGACATTGTCAAGGCAAGTTGAAGAGAGAATGGAATGTAAACATGTACTTGAGTAAAGGATGTAGAAATGTTTCGACCAAATGGTGACACACAGTGATTTTATGGGGAGCCCACATGGTGTTGCACTCTATAAGCAGATTTATTAATGCCTGAAGCAAAAATGTTTAAGGAAAGTCATTCGGAATAATATGAGGGTGAGTAAATGATGATAGAATTTTGGACTTTTCAAAAGAAAAAGTGTAGTCAAGAAGTGATTTTAGTTGGACTGTGATCAGGGGAACAGTTGAGCTCCATGTGCTGCTGATGAGGCAACAGAAGCCCTGGTGAATTGTGGGTCTGTGACATGGAAGTGAACCACTGCATTCAACATGACCACGGCAACTGTTGAGAGAAGAGGAGGGTCTGCTGTGCAACACGAAACAGAGAGTGTCTGTTTTAGGAGAGCTGGAGTGGCACCTGTCCCAGCCGCAGAGACAGCTCAACGTATGGACAAACCATTTCAGGCCACTGAGGGTCTGTAGATCCTACAGGGAGACCACCACAGAACTTGTTGTTTTACTGTTTAATAGTTGTTGTGGGGGCAAAGGTCAGATTTAGGAAATCCAGTTGATATTAAGACCTTCCAACATGTTCTTAATAGCATTGTTTGTTTAAATATTACATCTAAACCATTTGTGACCCTGGACCACAAAACCAGTCTTAAGTCGCTGGACTGATGAACTGCAACACCCACTGAGTGCCATGAAACAGCTTGAAAGATCAAAGACAATTTTTAATATAACTCCGACTGGATTCGTCTGAAAGAAGAAAGTCATATACACCTAGGATGACTTGAGGGTAAGTAATTTATGGGCTAATTTTCATTTTTGGGTGAACTAACCCTTTAATGCTGTTTGTGTTGAGTCATCTGTATTAGGCTATACTCGGTCATCGTTCGCTACACCTGCCTCACGTCCGAATATGCATACTTTCTAAGCGTAGTAACAAACAGCGGTACATGAAAGGAGTATTATATCCGAATTCGAAGCTTCCATGAAACAAAGAGAATAAACAAAACCTGACCTGTGGAACTTTGTTATTCCTTGAAGACATGGAAGTTGAGGAGCAGTAGGCCCTACTGTACAAGTGTAAATAGCCTGTATTGAAAATATATGGTGTTATACTGCTGGATTTCTATAGATAGGAGACAGATAAATAGACAGACATATAGATAGATATATCCAGGGACAACTGATGTTTTTAGGGTGAATTGTAATCGTGTAACTAGAAGCGCGTGACACACCTGTTGCTGTTTTCGGGCAGTGATGAAGTAGTGACCCAGACTGAGGAGGAAATGTGGAAATCCACGCTCTCTGGATCAACTCTTCACTCGCTGAGAGCACAGTGTCAGCTGTGAATTTGGCTCCCAGCGCCATTCGAGTGTCAGTAGATACAGTGAACTCACTTATCCTCACAGTGTCTCCATTCAGTCGTCCCCTCCATATAAAGCTGTGCTTTAGACACGCTCGTCATAATGGCACTCACATGTCACGTTGTTAAACAGGCCTTGGGCCAGTAAATTTCTGCTAGATTGAATTTAAAATATGTTGTACATTATGCTGAAATGTTTGTTATTGAAAAAAAAAATCATGCACACAAACAACACGCAACCTTTAAAAGTGTTTTATGAACAAAATATTTAAATTTGCACCTCAAAAACTATAGAGAACATTTTATATGGCAGGAATGTTTGAGCTTTGATTCCCGATAAATAAATCAGCTTTTGATTTTTGCTACATCTGTGTATTCGGTCACTTAAAACCCTTTGAAATAGCAATGCAGAGGTCGGTTATTGCAATAATATGTGCATAAGACTGTCAGGATTGGACCTGTTTTGTCATGTGTTTCAGTTCCTGTTTTGCCTTATTTGGTCTTGTTCCTGTCCTTGTTTAGTTTGATTATTAATTGATTCCCCGCACCTGTCTGTCCCTCGTTATCCAGTCCTTATAAGCCCCAGTCTGTTTAGTTTGTATTGGTCGATTCTGCTTGTGCAGGCTACTATGTGTGTTGCTCAAGCGTCTGTTGTGATGATTCCCAGTGTTTCCTTGATTAAAGACTGCTAAACGTTCCTTCGTGCATCCCGTGTTCTTTCTGAACAGCGTAACGTGACAGAGACAAGACAAAATTCTCTCTATTCAGAGATTAAATTTTAAAAAAAACTACGTCAACTCTGCGTATTAACTTGAAACAGATATGTGCCAAAATTCAGCACGGGTGATTTTTTATTACTTTTTCATTCACGGTCAACTTTTAATTACAGAAACTGATTATTTATCCTTGCCAAGTTCTTCTAGTATTGCATTTGGGCAGTGTTAAAACGTCCTTTTAGAAAACACTTTCTCCTGCCTCATTGTTAAAAATAAGCCACTGCCCAGACATTCAAATATCAAACTCAATAGCCCATACAAGTGTCATTATGTTTTGTTAAATGCAATTTCCATTCATTTTTTAAAAGTTATTCTTACTGTTAAGAATCGCAAGGCCAGCTATTTAAATTGATGTTTGAATAAACCAATGGTTTGGTGGAGCTATTTGGTCA